AAGTTATTTTGACTAGCCCATATCCAGGTTAAGAGCCCAGTTCTTGTAATCGAACACTGCTCTGCTCAATATACTCTTTAAACTCCATCCAGAGGGAATGATGGTCTCTCTCGTCCAATTGTGCCGAAGTCGTTTATATAATCGCTTTTTTAATGATCTTTGGCCAGGCCTAGACTTTGCCCAGTTTTTCAGGTTAACCATAACCGGTTCCAAGTTATTAGGATTGGCCCATATCCGGGTTTCGAGCCCGGTTCATGTAATCAAACACAAGTTTGCTTAAATTTTGGTAAAATATGCGTTAGGGATACTTTTTAGATCTTAAATTTTGGGATGTAACTTTTGCAACTCATAAATTTTACACATATATGTTACTTCTACAAGTAAATTTTAAAATATGTATATATACTTGTACACATATATGTAAGGGATTGTATACAATGAGACCATTTATCGTTTATACAAGGAGGTCACAATTATTTACAACATTCAACGTGATATCTGATAGCTTAAGTGTGTCAGGTCAATGAAATAAATGCAGCTACCCAATTTCACATCTAATGGTCAAGATTATTTGTGAACACCTTGTACCAAATGTAAACGGTCTCATTATATACTTTCCTATATATAAATATTTCTATATTGTACAAAGGTACAGTATCTAGATGTTCTTTTACGGATTTTGACACATAGCAAACTTATAAATAGACACATGTGTTTGTATCTAGCTAACATATTTTTCGGATTTTGACACTCATATCAAACTTATAAATAGAGACATGCGTTTGTGTCTAGATAACATATATGGCATCGTCTCTTTCTCCTTCCCAAATTTTTCTACGTTGGTCGACAGGCTTTTCGTTTCTCTCTCTCTCCATTGCTTTACAAAAAAAAAATTCGTGACGATTTTGTCTGCGATTGAAGAAATTAAAACGTCCGGTTCTTTGATCATTTCAGGTCATGGGTAATATATTATCTATTGCGGATTCTAAATATGCTGAGGCACAAATGGGCGTGGTGGATCCAAGGCACATAAAGATGGGTAGTAGAAAGTATACAGATATATGGGCTCTCTCACCACTCCACCATGCACACAAGGCGTTGCATGGAATGTTGTCAAGAAGGTTGCAACTTTCTCCCTCTAAATCTCCTTCCTAAACATGCTTTACTGCCTACTCTTTTCGACCACCATTTAACTCTTTTCACCTACCTTTGTTCAATCTTCAGGTGAATACGTTTTACAGACAGCAGCTGAGCCTCTTGAGGGCTGCAGTTCAGTTCATGGTGTAAGCCTTTCAACTTTCATGATAAAATATATATATTACTACATCATTTATTTAGTTTAGTGCACCAATTATTTTTGCTATTAATATCTAGTTGTACATGATCCTTGTTAAGCAAAGGAATTGCATACAATGTGACCATTTACTTTTGATATAAAGAGGTCACAAATACTTAAAACCTTCCAGTATCACAGAAAGCAGAGGCGAAAGCTAGGCCAACACAGCCCATCAATAAACGAAAGTTCACCTCTACACCCCAAGGCGTCTTTGAGCTGTTCTCCATTTTTGATTTCAACATGTAACAACATTGGTGAATTACTTATGTTTGTTCTTTTAGGAGCATGTAATTTACATGTTACCTACTAGTTTAGTTATATACAAATATAAAGAGGTGCCCTCCAATTCTTCTCTATTTGTTGTAACAATAGATCTATTCATGGTGTTTAATTATTCGCCTCGTTGTGTGAGGAGTCGTCGCAACCTTGTCAGATTCGTGATCTTGTGGCAAAAACAACTTATCATATGTATTGGCAGTTAGCATACGGATGCATCCGTAGCGGTAGAGGTAAGGTGCACCTTCAAATTTCATCACGGTATATAATTTTGATGTAAAATGTTTATCTCAAAAGCTATTTTTATATCTAATTATAAAATTATAAATTTTAAAAATTGTCAAATTCAAGTAGATCTATAAACGTATGAAAATCTTTAAAATGGACGGTGTAGATAATATGTTGTAAAATTCACTATTTCTGAGACTTAAAATCTTTTTATTTTTCATGGTCATACCTCTCGATGTCTAGATGATCAATCAAAAGGTTTTTCAACATTAAAACTACCTTTTCCGATGGATTTTTGAAGGTGCATCCGTAGTTCTACATATAAGGTTGCAACCTTATATAAACTTTTTCCTTTTAATATAAGAGAACTAGTGACACATTTCCAAACATTGGGCTAGTGTTTCAAAACCTGGATCAGTGGGCCAGGTTGTTCACCTGACATATCTATGTCAAATTGTTGGATCCGCAATCTGGATCGGTCCAAATTGGTCAAAATCAATAATCCACAAAAATAAAAATAAATAAAAATGGAAATAAGGATTTTTGTGGTGGTGATATAGGGGGACCTAAAGAACATTAAATAAGCTTTAGAAAAAAAGAAAGAAAAAATTTGGTGGAGGGGATTTTAAGGAGGAAACTAGGGTGGGACAAAGAGCTTCCTAAAACTGGTTCAGTCCCTTGATTCCTAGTCCAAGCTAAGGATTCCAAATTTAGACCTTGCGAAAGAGTGTCGTTTTTGTGCACACTATGAAAAGGAAAAGTTGTTCGTGCATCGCGGGATGTGCACTTCGACAATAGCAATCCCTAAGGCATTCAATATCCATCTTGCAGAGGGATGTTAAAAAATTGGTCCTACCAAAATTTAAAATTGACAACTAAAACTATATATCAAAAAATCGTTTTTCCCCTTTAGTTTCATACTCATCGTGGTTGAGATTTTCATTCTTTAAAATTTTGTATTTAAAATCCATTTTTAAAATAAATTTTGTAGAAATGACTCGTTTATATAGATGAATCAAACGGTTCATAGAAACCATATCCACAAAAATTATTAGAAATTTCCTATTACTGCAAGTTCCAACTTGCACCTACCTTTATAAGCTATTCCCAACCAGTATATGTTTAGGCTCATGAACATAAGCCCCTGGCATTTTCACCCGTATTATTGGGTGTAAATAACAAAAAAACTTGAGTGCAATGTTACTCTGCAAGGACTCCAAAATGATAGCAATGGTTTGGATGCAGTTTTTCAAAACACAGTATCCGACCCTGAATCAACAGGGACTCATTTCGGTACAACTTGTCCAACTAGGGCATTTCTTGAGTTGGATCGTTGTACAAACTCAAAAAAACTAAAAAGAAAAATAAAAACCAAAAAAATTGAAACTTCTGGTTCGAATCAGATGATTCCAATTGTAACGGGTTATTATTTCTAATACATATTGGAAGTGTATTTCTCTAGGAATAACCAGCTTAAATTAAAGAATATGTACGACCTAAAGTCATATCAAATTATCATTGATGCATCCAAAGAGCAATTTCATGATAATTTACAAAAATAAATAAATAAATAAAAATAATCATGATCTTAGAATTCACCACTATTATATATGTTACATCTCTGCTTTAGCTTGACCTTGGAAAGAAATCCCAATGTCTACACCCACTTCGGCAACATTGATTTAGTACTTTAGAAAAATAAACTATTCAATAGGATTTTTTTTAATCTAAAAATTTTCCAACTCAGTACCTAAAAAAGTCAAAAAATTGATATGGTTGGTATGCAATTTTAACATGTCCTTTCTGGTAAATTCAAGGTGCGTATTTAAGTTTGTTTTCCTCTTCTCATTCTCATGTTATCCTCTTCTCTTTAAAAATTGAAAATTTTAATCTAAAATTTTCCAACTTGTCCAACTAGGGCATTTCCTGAGTTGGATCGGTGTACAAACTCAAAACATCTAAAACTAAAAATAAAAACC